ATAGATAGATAGATAGATAGATAGATAGATAGATAGATAGATAGATAGATAGATAGATAGATAGATAGATAGATAATATATACGTATTCAGGAGTGATTAATACGATAGTTACTGCTATTATTCTTACACATACTTACATATTCTCATTACTCCTACCCATTGTTTAGTCTTGATATTACAACATGCATGAGTATGAATAACATGAACTATATCCGGTAAATATCGTCAACGATTCGCGCGTGTCTGCTGTGCTTCGGTATTCTAATCGCCATCACCTTCGTGTTTGCGCGCCAGGTCGTTGACGACGTGTTGGATGGGCTGACGATGATGCCGCCGTCGCTACGGTATACGTCGGCAGCCGCCATGTACAACGTGCTCGGTTGCCACGAGCTGGCGATGCGACTGGGGAGCTTGCTGGTCGGTGCGTCCCAGCGCTGGCCCATAACAACTCGAATGGTAAATATATATATATATATAATTATGTGTGTGTGTGTGTACGCTTCTTACGCACGAAGAAATGATCATGCGACAGTTTCGGCTCGATCGCGAACACTTTATCAATTTCAATTATCAAAATTAATGCGTGATATTAATCTGGCAGCAATAATAATCCAAGATTATATGGACGGAATAACTACGTATTTCGCGCTCATGTATTTCGTTTCGACATAATTACGTGATGACGTATTTCGTGATGACATAATTACGTGATGACGTATTTCGTGGCGACATAATTACGTGATGACGTATTTCGTGGCGACATAATTACGTAATGACATATTTCGCGGTGATGACGCATGTCGTCGTGACGTACAATCTCGTGATGACGTACATCGTGATGACGTATTCGCGAGCAGGAGACGGAAGTCTGCGACGAGGAGGCCGAGCAGCAGTTCGACACGCTCATGCACGCAGACGATAGCCTCGGTGCCGTGTACGACGCCCTAGCGGCGGGCGCGTACACCGCTCTCGGCTGCCACCAGCTCGGCCACAAGCTCGCTGGCAAGATGATAACGGATTTCTCACTCAACGAGGCGGAAGCCGGAGTTGCGCTGCCCGACAGCACGCAGATGGTCGTTCGCAGGAAGCGGGGTGGGCATTTGCATTCATAAAGCTGATCACATTAGATTCACACAGCTGATCGCATTAGATTAATAAAGCTGGTCGCATTCGAATTATACAGCTGGTCGCATTCGATTCATGAAGTTGGTCGCACTAGTTTTATATAGCTGGTCACATTAAATTATTAAAGCTAGTCACATTAGTTTTATAAAGCTGGTCGCATTAGAATTATAAAGCTGGTCGCATTAGAATTATATAGCTGGTTACATTCGATTCATAAAGCTGGTCACATTATAGATTTATAAAGTTGGTCGCATTAGTTTTATATAGCTGGCCACATTAAATTATTAAAGTTGGTCGCATTAGTTTTATACAGCTGGTCGCATTACATTCATTAAGCTAATCACATTAGAATGATAAAGTTGCTCGAATTAAATTATTAAACCTGGTGACATTAGATTCACATTAGACTACCCGCAGTGCCATTTAATAACTATATTTACACGCGTTGACATCATTGTTGCGGTGACGTGTGGCTTCACTGCCATATTACTATTAACAATTAAATTTTGAATTTTAAATTGGAGCCACTTCAAATGATATTTACGAAATATAAGTTGAATTTAATAAGTAATTTAATTGTTTTTTATTTAATTAACGTCATACAGTTAACGTATATAGAACAAATAATTGCGAGATCGTGTTCCGGCAGATCGTTCATGAAAGCAGTGCCACGCGATAAAAAATGGCCGCGACGACGATGTTTGTGATAACGCATAAGCCGCAACATTTTGCCAATAATGCTTCACAGCCGACTGCGAAGCCGATAAGACCGAAGCTGACATCTACAGCGTCGTGGAATGGATCCCGTTCGTCGGCACGCTCTGGGACGTCGGCTCGACCGTCGCCTACGCAATCGAGGGCTGCGAGAACTTGGTGAAGGAACGAGGTCTCAGTGCCGCCATAGGCCTCGCTCTCGACGGTCTAACGGTGGCGACAGGCGGCGCTGCTATCGGTGCCAGCACGGCGGGTAAGACGGCCGTGAAGGCGGGATTGAAGGCGGGAGCGAAGGCGGGAGCGAAGGCGGGAGCGAAGGCCGGAATCAGAACAACGCTGAAGAACGCCGCGCGAACCGGCGTCAAAGGTCTCCTGAAGAAATTCGCGTCCGAGGGCTCCGAGGTTCTCGCGAAGAAAGCCGCCAAGAAAGGCTTAGGGGAAGCTGCGGAGCGCGGGCTGAAGTCAGGTGTCAAATACGCAGACGACCTGGCCGCCATTCTCAGACGGGCCGGCTCGTCGGCGGGCGATGCCGCCAGCGCTGCCGCTAAAAGCGCCACGAGTACGTCACGAGCTTTTGTTACGATCTTACTTACGATCTACTTCTCTACGATCTTATTTATGTTTCAGATGACGGACAGCCTGATATTAATCTCGTTTGCCGCCGCATCGCATTTTCGTTTACTAAATGGCGACGCGGAATTGTCAGTCATATGCCATTAGAAATTCACCATTAATGTTACTTCCAAATTGGTTTTTAATTAATATGAAATGTTTTATTATTAATAATTATTAATTACAGTAATGTATCATATTATAATAGTTAATACCATGCGATGGCGTAGTATTATGCTCAGCACTTTCACCGTGTGGGTTTGTAGGGACCGGATCTGTCGGTCGCATCCTCGGCTCGCTAGACAAGCTTAAGCCGCTTGTGAAGCTCGCCGGTAAGGGCGTGACGGTAGCCTCCTACATCATCGACGCCAGTCAGGTGGCCATCAACTTCGCGCGTGTCGTCACTGGTGAGTGCATCCACGTCTACTATCCGGGCATCTGTGACAAAGAGGCTGAGATCGTGACGCTGGCGGCTGACCTCGAGCGCATGAGTGCGGAGCTGAACACGAGCAAGATCGAGGTGAGCGAGTTAGCGCGGAAGCTGTTACTATCACAGGCACCTGAAAACGTTTCAATAGTAATATTATGGTAAATTAATAGACACGAAATGTATTTACTACCAAAGTCTGAATGTTTCTTTACTCCCTTTCGCTTATTATTGCCGATAACTTCCTGTAAATGCCGATCAAAGTACACCGCACGCACGCAGCTTGAGTACAAACAACAAGAATATATAGTTCTCTTTATACTTGTTGTTTGTGCGTAGCGGCGTGCGTGCGTGCGGTGTACTTGTGTGTCGCAAGGAGCATTTGAACGGCATTTACAAGAAATTATCGGCAATAATAGGCGAAAGAGACTTAGAGAATAATTGAGATTTTGGTAGTAACACATTTTGTGTTTATTTACCATAATTCTTTTTATTGAGACGTTCCAAGTGCCTGTGGTTACTACTGCACCCCATATATATATATATTAGTTTTATATTCATTATTTCTCTAAAGATAATATCATAGGGATATCAGGGATATCATTACAGGATAAATGGATAATATTATGGATCTATTTACTACTATTACCATAATAATAATAATAATAAAAAAAAGAAGAAGAAGAATTATTATTATTGTAATATTGTTGTTGCTGTTATTATTATTATTATTATTATTATTATTGTTGTTGTTGTTGTTGTTGTTGTTGTTGTTACCTCCGCCAGGGGCTTGGCGGAGGTTATGTTTTCACCGGCGTGTCTTTGAGTGTTGGTTTGTGTGTTTATGGGTTTGTGTGTTTGTGGACATGCACGTTTCAGTTCACTTCCGCTAGGTGCGCTGGCTGTAGACTTACAAACACGCAACCACAGGCTAAGGGGCAACCACAGTCCTCCCCCACCTGCACGCTCGCACTAATCCGGATCCAATTAATTATTTAATTCATTAATTAATCAATTAATTTTTCCACTTAATTATTTAATTAATTAATAAAAAATTTCACATTGAGAGAATTCAGCTGCCTTGGCGGAGGTCTGTGCTCTCCGAGTGCTCTAGTTATTATTATTATTATTATTGTTGATGTTATATCTAGGTCGACGAGCTGCAGCAGACGTTGGAGAATTACCTCGTGTTGCTCACTGTCATGAACAATAACAACGGCCTTATCGCCCAACTCTACAACAGCATCGTCAAACAGACGGAAGAAATAGAGGTTCATTTAATTACTTATTTTTTAATTAATTATATATTGTTTATTTATTTAGTTATTTATCCGTTCATTTTTCTAATTTATTTATTGTTAATTATCAGTCGATACATTACAGACAATATGCGCATAAATATAATACGTGACTGCCAAGGATAAACAGGCAAGGCGCATGCCATTTTACTTACTTATGTTGTTTTAATCTCCATTCCATTGTCAACAAACCCACATAATTTATAACCAATCCTCACTCACTAACTCACTAACTTTCTCACTATTTCGGCGAAACTTTAGACATTAACCTAACCTACATGATAATTACAAAATATTGACTCAATGCTAGGCAAATTGAAAAGAAATCAGCAAACCTCCGCCATCTTATCTGAATAAGTTAATCGGAATTCATGGTCATCTAAAATAATTTTTTTTAATGATAAATGCGATTAATGTACCAGCCACAGTTTCAACAATTCTAGTCATCTTTGTCAAGCCGAATCTTTTCGCAGCCGAACCATTTCCCATGAGCATCTTTTTTTAAATCGTCACCTTTATAACTAGGTGCGAAAAGCGGACATTGAGTCAGTGCTGGGAGCGGAGAAGGCCGACCAGATTACGCTCGCTAGCTTCGACGTTGCAATCGGCTTGGCGGCCATCGCGCGCACACAGGTGCAGGGATTCATAGACGAGGCAGGTATCAACGCGGCCATCCAGGGCTCCCTACTCGGCTTCACACTCGTCGGTATTCCACTCATGCAGAGCGGCTTTACGCGGCTGAAGGCGCACTACGAGATAAAGAAGTTAGCGAGCGGACCGAAGGGGCGAGCGCGCGCGGGAGCCATCTCCAACGTCGACGTGCCTGCGCGCCTGGGAAGGAGGCTGCGCGTGAAGGGTCGCATCCTCTCTGCGGGTAAGAAGCTACTGAGTGGGGTGGCGTTTGCGCTGCCGGCCGCCGCTGCAGGACTCGTGCTCGGGCTCAGCATCAAGGCGGAGGCCGACGTCAGCAAGTACCTGACGGAGACGCTAGAAGAGCTGCGTATCGCCAAGGCCGACGCGCAGGATCGGCTGGCAAAGGCCGCGCAGACGCAGGTCAACCAACAGCTGCAGTGGGAAGCGTTCGGCACCTTCTTCGTGCAGATGACGTCGACGTTCGAAAACGGGTCGGCGCCGCTCATGTCGACGATGTGCGAGGCGTGCGGCGACTGTCCGGACATCGTCGACACCATGTGTACGCAGGGCTGCGCGAGCGACGTCGCCTGCGCCGACAGCTGCCGCGCGACCAAGTCTGACGTCATCTGCACGACGTGCAGCGACGTGCAGACGTTGTTCTTCTGCACGCCGCTAGGGGATCTAGTCGGCGAAGGTCTGACGGCTGACAACCTCAACCTCCTCATCGAAGTACAGGAGAAAGCCATCGCGTTGCTGTCGTCACAGAACAGAACGCTAACGACGGTGCGCACCTACCTAGACGACCAATGGGCCGCCATCCAATTCGTCGTGAACTCGGCCGGCACGACTCCGCCGAAACCGTTAGCAACGATCGCGCAGGACCTCGAGCTTCAAGGCTTCCCCGAATTCGCGAAGAATCAGATTCTGGACATCATTGCGCGTGCGCAGCCGACGTGGACGAGCTACGACGGCTGCAGCCTGGCGACGCGCGCCTGCTGGCAGGATACGGCGCGGCAGCTGCTCGCGGATTCGACGCCGCTCGACGCCATTACCGCACAAGTGCGTCTCGTTGACGGCTCGGTGACGCGCGAGGCCGTGCTGGGATTCATCCGTGAGTCTCGGCCGCAGCTGACGGCGTACGATGGCTGCCTCGTGCAGCCCCCTTACACGTGCGCGCGCGACAAGATACGCGAGTGGGTGGACGCGAACAGATCGGTGGAGTTCATGCTGGAAATCCTAGAGACGCTTCAGCTGACGCTCGATGAGCGACAAATTCTGCAAATCATCGCCAATCTCAGACCGGGTGCGGCTGCGTACAGGAGTTGCAACCTGCGCACGTTCGTGTGCCCTTAGTTAGCACGCACGCGTAATGCCTGCTCGACACACCTGTTTAAATGCCTTACTCACATTCAGGGGGGAGGGGGAGGTTTTCGTTAAGTACGCACCATGCGTTTTAGCAGTGTTGAGCATAATATTTAACATCACATTTGGAATAAATGTTTTTAAGCGACGATAAATTACTGTTGATGTAATGTGAACACTACTATATAGACATTGTTAGTTGTTTGTGGCGGTTTTATTTGCTATTCCATATCAATGCTGCTTGTTACCTAGTAACTTACTACGTGCATATATTTTTTCTGTGAGGCTAAATAGGAATTATTAAAATAGTAAAAGTATTACCGCGTGTTTCTAACAAATATGGCGTTTTAGGGGTAAGGGTTGATATATTTAATGCATCCTCGATTTTCTAAGCGATTCTGTCAATTGAAAAAATAAACCTCAATCTAAATCATGATTAATCACAATAATAATTTAATTACCATTTCAGGTTACATAGATATATGCGCATATAATTAGAGTGAATACACCGGGTTTTCATTGGTTTGATCGTATTTCAACAGAACAATACAATATTGCTGATTTATAATTAACATGTTCTCGTGTTTCGTAATTATCGTGTTTACTTAATATACATCGATATATGTACGTACAATCGTATTTAATTAATATAAATATAGTATACATAATAAAAAATATATAATGATCAATTTAGTATGAACTGAAGGCGCCACATGTCACTAGGACGAATACATAGGTTTCCATTGGTTTCATAGTATTTCAATCGAGCAATAAAATATCATGTTACATAAAAACACATCTCTGCCGATTAGAAACTAAAGAATATTGAACATGAATGTCATGTCCACAATGACGTTAATGCAATGGCGAACTGTCCATTTTAACGACCATCCAATGCACAATGATCAATCCGCCTGGAGTGATTATCAGATAGGTCTAACCAATCAGCGTTGCGGAAGCGGCGGTCTAAAAAGCACTAATTATTAACGAGAGCCGCAAAGTCGACGGTTTTTGGTGCAAGCGTAAAGAACTGATCTGGCTTGACCGACCTAGCAACCAAATACAAGAGGGCGTTGATATCTCGCCCAGACAGATTATTATTATATTACTACTACTATTATAAGATATTATTAATAAATTAATAAGCATTCAAAATTATACATCTGTAGCAGAAAGCCATGTCTAATTGTCTATATATTAGATGAAGACCGGCCTTTTATAGCCGATCAGGTGATCGTCCTCCGCGGCCATTCTCTTTAGTTCTTCCAGGATCGCGTCTGAAATACATAATATGTTTAATGGAACGGATTTTTTACAAACGAATTTGAATAAGTGTGACAGTGTGGCCTCAACATTAGCATACGAGCGCGTAGATACAATAATGTAACCCAACAAGAGTAGGGGTTTCTACAACAAACCCAATCCCTACTCTTGTTGGATTACATTATTGTATCTAACGAGCGCGAGGTAGTTAGAGCGAACGTGCAGCAACAAAGTTCACAAGGAAACGTCGTGACACAGTTAACCGTATACCTAAATGTTACGATGGACTGATGTACAAACCGTCTCGGTACATCACACAGTGGCTCGCATAATTATTATTGTATTATTCATGACTGCTTCCTGCTTCATTATTATGCCTCCCTCGGCGGTACGGATGAGTGATCTGATCTGAGACACTGTTTTACAACTCACCAAGTTCGACAGGTACTACCACCTCATTTGTCGCTAGGTGGCGCTGTAAGCTCATAGTATCAAGATCACGCCGTGATCTGCGCCTACTACCAGGCCGTTTGCGGCGATTGCGACAGTTAGCGTCTTCCACGAGACTCATCACCTGAGCAGAAGGTAAGGATACATCTTATAAGCACTATATCTGGGACTGACGTAGAGAAATGGTAGCATGCATATATGAACAACGCGCCCGGCTGGTAAATCATGTTTCAAGCTGCTTTCGGGGTTTGCATCTTCACGCGGGGTTTTCGGTCTACTCAACTTGCAAAAGAAGGTCTCACATAGGTGGTGGTACTACACTCCTACGCTGTGGTAAAACCCAGGCGTTTTGTTATGTGTAGATGTGGTTATAAGCCGGCTCCCACCGCTGCTTCCACAGACACTCGTAGACACACACACACACACACACACACACACACACACACACACACACACACACACAACTCAGGGTACGTTCTGGCAGTACCCTGAGTTACATAGACCCTCTCAGCACTAGTAGGCCATGATGTTGATATGATTTGTTGGCCGAAACTGACCCTTCTACTTCTATTCGCCTCTTTGCTGACGACACTGTTCTGTACCGCACCATCGTCAATAAGAGCGATCAGTTAGCCCTACAGAGTGTCCTTACTCGTACTGAGAAGTGGGCAACATCATGGGGTATGTCATTCAATGCAGAAAAATGTAAAATTCTTCGCATTACTCGCTCCAAATCACCCTTGACTTTTACTTACTCGCTGTATCATAAATATCTATCTCTTTCCCCTACTTACAAATATTTGGGTGTTATTATTAGTAATGATCTTTGCTGGAATGCCCACGTTGACTACTTGTAAGAAAGCATCCCGATCCTTCGGCATGTTTATTGTTACGGCGTAATCTTAGCTTTGCTGACTCTGAAACTCGGTCCCGAGCTTTTAAAACTATGGTTCTGCCCATATTAGAATATGCTTCGCCAGCCTGGTGCCTCTATAGACTTCAGAACTGCTCTAAATTAGACACCATTTAGCATAAAGCTGCGAGATGTGTTTCCAGAAACTATGATGATAGTGTTGATGTTGTTTTGGCTCGTCTTGAATGGCCTCCTCTTCGTGTCCTCTTTCTTCATTCAAAACTCATAACTTTCTATGAAATTTATCATGGTGAGATGAAAATTGGCATTCCCTCTTGCTTAATGAAGCCTGTTCGCTGCACCCGCTCATCTGAGCGTGTTCACTGTTTTCGGCATGTACAAACTTCTAAGGATCCTTTTAAGTTTAGCTTCTTTGTCTCTGTGATTCCGTATTGGAATTCACTGCCTTTATCCTTAGTAAATGGCAAATTTACAACCTTTTTCGCTGCTATCCGCAGTGTGGATCTACCAACTTGATCCACTTCTCTCTCCATCTTCATTATAGTCCCCAGGACTTTTGAAGATTAACACTTATATGAGGTTAGTAGGTCTCGGGGGAGAGATAGTGATCTGCTAGATGGTGCATTATTAGTATAAATAAGTTGTGGATATAGAAATCAGTTAACCCTAACCCTAATCCTAACCCTAACCCTAACCCTATCCCTAATTCTAAAATAAAACAAAATTAGCCAAAAATAATAAAAAATAAAATAAACAAGAGACAAAATTAGCCAATCAGAGCCGTCCCCTGGCGTATCACTATCTCTCCCCTGTGCAAAATTTCCCCCCCCACGTATATATATATATAGTTAAACTGTTTGCGTATAGGCCTATGCTTAGCTAATCTGACAGGGGTGCTAAACTTAACTAGGATTGGGCCTTATCATTACTCTCACTCTCAGAGCTTTCTTGAATCGATTCGTTTGAATCTAATAAAACCTGCTTTTTACTAACGTGCCCTTCTTGCTCCTAGAATTGGAAAAGAGGAAGAGAGAGAGTGAGAGAGTTGATAAATCACCTTATAAATACAATAAGGCTATATCAGATTAAGTGTTCTATGTACCAACCAATCAAACAATAATAAAGTCACCGATACCGATACACTCAGTAAATTTCAAGTTACTTCTGTTTCTGTGCTTTCTTCCCTGTTACTAGCATACGGGTGCCGAGCCTTGTTGGAGTGATTTTTTTAAAGCTAGATATCACGATTTTATAATCCTGTATAACATGATTATAGGCAGACGAAAAATGGGATCGGAAGGAAAATCGAGTGAGCGTGGAACAGCAGATGCCTATTTTTTATCCAGTTCCTGCATGGACAAAAACATTCTGACTCTTGTCCTCGACAAACTAAGATGTGTAGCAGGTAGTGATATATGGATGATGAAGTGCTAAGGGTACCATGTACCATTTAATATAATAAAAAACACAATATAATATATAATACATTCATGGACCATAGTTCCTTCCATGGAATTCATACATCCATTCCATTTCCATACATATACATATGGTTTCTGCAGCTGAATACGTCTTTGTGATATAGTCAATGTTTAGAATATTGGCTTTGGACATGTCTGTTAATAAAATTTAAATAACCTCGTGAGAAGTGCCCAGAAGATAAGTTGCTACCGTTGCTATGCTCTGCCGTTACTTTATTCCAGTAATTAAATTGGTTGATTATACTGTAAAAGTGGATGCATAGTAATATTAATCTCACCTTCCTATAGCCGATGGCAACACGTTGGTGGCCAGCCTTGATACATGCTATCGGCTCACTGTATATCAGACTGCAACTGGACTGTGTCTAGACTGGGCGAGACGGCATGGACTACCATCCAAGAAGTTACTTCTGAACAAGCATGATGCATTGGTGGCCTTACAGTTGTGCCTGGCTCAAAAAAGCAAAGACGTAAGTAACATTGTGCATTGCTAACCATATAATAACCCATATAATAACCCATTGTCTTTAGTGGGACATTTTCACTTTGGAGCACGCATCTCTGCTGTACCACTTTGCTGCTGGACATTTGTAATTTTTTTTTATTTACAAATATACGAGAGTGGAGAGTGTGAAATGGAAAATGGAAAGGCTTTGGAAGGTAGAATAATGGTTGCGCATAATTTTCAGGAAGGAGGTGACTTTCACGTGGAGCTGAGTAGGGTGTTGGAACTAGAGCGCCACCTGACGATGGCCGCCACGGCCGCATGTACATCACGCCGGAGACCTGCCCTCCCATGTAGTACTACTGTTAACACACACAGAAAAACAGGAATCTCAGATTGCTCCAGTGACAGTGATAGGTCAGAGCCATCCTCGGTCGTAGAAGCTGATAGGTCAGAGCCAACCTCAGCCATGGAAGCTGATAGGTCAGAGCCATCCCCGGCCATGGAAGCTGATAGGTCAGAGCCATCCCCGGCCATGGAAGCTGATAGGTCAGAGCCATCCCCGGCCGTGGAAGCTGATAGGTCAGAGCCATCCCCGGCCGTGGAAGCTGATAGGTCAGAGCCATCCCCGGCCGTAGAAGCTGATAGGTCAGAGCCATCCCTGGCCGGGGTAGCTGATAGGTTGGAGCTGGAATCGGCACGTAAGAGCTACTACAGGTTCCTCGACGAATGTGACGTTGTTGATGAGAGGGGGCTGCTGGCATTCCTAATGGATAAATCTATGAGTGGTGCTGCCGAGGATGATGAGTGCTGTCACAATCGCAAGCCCTTGCTGTTTGTCGGGATTCCACAGTGTCCAATACAGGTGACATGCTCTTTTCTCATCAGAATGTCCATTTACTTACTTATTTTCTAACGTACTTATTTACTTACGTACTTGAGTTGCTTGCGTTCTTGCTTGTTTATTTGTTTGATTGTTTGCTTATGTGCTTGCTTGCTTGTTTGCTTGTTTGTTTGCTTACTTACTCACAAATGTACTCATTTACTTAATTGGCTTCATTCTTAGGGGAACATAGAATAGCGTGAGGGTGTCCAACTTATCCCAATAAGTCAGTAAGTACTACCTGCTGGCTTATTGGGATAAGTTAAATAGGTCATCAAGTTGCAGGTTCCTCTTTTACCACCTTTTTTTACAACTCCCGCAGTGTTCTCTCTTTTTTATTTCGATTCCCTTCAATCTCGTTCCCCTGTTGTTATCTCTTTCTCTTTAAATAATACAGTGGCGGTAACACTACATTATTTTACATTTCCTTTTCAGCGCGCTTTTATATCGATGCTTTGCCGAAACAGACGAGTATACAATGTCACCGTGGAGACGTCCCTCGACGCCAGTCTCCGCGAAGGAGAGGTAGTGTCGCCGGAGATAAGCATAGATGCGGGTCGGTTAGAGGAGATTCTTGTTGCTCCCGTGGAGCCCTCTGGTGACAAGCCTTCGGCGGCAACCGAGGTGAAGAACACATTAACGTTATGTAGCGCCACCTACCATGGCTACTACAACTGTGGTGTTCGTATCCGGATGACTACCCCCTGGAGAACTACCCCCAGGACAACTACTACCCGGACAATTACCCCCCTAGGACAACTCTCACCCGGACAACTGCCACCCCGACAACTACCCCCCTAGGGTTAGGGTTAGGGTTGTCCTAGGGGGGAATTGTCCTAGGGTGGTAGTTGTCATAGGGAGGTAATTGTCCGGGTGGTAGTTGTCCAGGGGGTAGTTGTCCAGGGGGTAGTTGTCCTAGAATCGTGGTGTTGAATATAAATTAAAAAGAGGCGGCGCCATCTATCATAGGTTATTTTTAGCTCAGCTGACGAAGTCAGATGCAGCTTGTAGAATCGCATAATTGTCCGTCCGTGCGTTTGTGCGTCCGTGCGTTCGTGCGTCCGTCCGTCCGTCCGTCCGTGCGTCTGTGAACAGTTGGGCACAAATCTTAACCGCTCGACGTACAGTCTTGATATTTGAGACGTCGGGGGGGATCGCGAAAAGGACTCGTGATGTCGAATTTGGGGGTCAAGAGTCAAAGGTCAAGATGTGTCGATGGAGGGAGAATATTTCCCCCTTAACTTAAGGTATAAGAGGAAATACGGAATTGCGGGACAAATCTCAACGGCTTGACCTACGCTCTTAATATTTGATGTATAGTGTGATGGGGAGGAAACCCATCACCAGTGCGAAATTGGAGGTCACAGGTCAAAGGGCAGTGGGGGAAAGGTCAGATATCAGATATTTTCTGAGGACATGGTCTAATGGACCGAGTGCAAAACATTTTTGTTTCAGCGCTGACCTAACGTTTTTATCACTTTATTGAAAGGACCGTGAAATCTACTTTCTGCTGACGTGCGAAGAGTAAGTGTCTGATAACCTTTTGACCTCCAAAACCAGGGGTTAAACATGGATTTGTTGACTGACTACAACTCTCGTATTCATGCTGTTTGTGCACAGGGCGGGCGTGCGGTGTACCGGTACTTGTGTGTTGCAGATGAGCATTTGACCGGCATTTACAGCAAGTTATCGGCAATAATAGGCGAAATAGAGTAGAGAAACATTAAGACTTTGGTAGTAAATACATTTCGTGTTTACTTTTTTTTATTTTATTGAGACGTTCCAAGTGCCTGTGATATAGCTCTAGAACTATAGCCTAGCTTCCGCTCCTGCGGCGGAGCGGAGAGCTATAGTTCTAGAGCTACCTGTGACATAGCTCTAGTACTATAGTTCGCGTAAAGTTGCCTGCGGCAACTAGAGCTATTGAGGTTAGCCATTTACTAATCGCTAGATAGATGGCGCGCGTGCACTGTCCGCTATCACTGCTAAACAATGGCGTCTAGTTACGAAGGAAAACCCGTAAATGAATTGAAATCAGAGTTGCAAAGTAGAGGTGCAAAGACATCTGGGAGGAAGTCTGATCTGATAGAAAAGTAAATTAATTAACCTACCTGCTCTCTAAAGTAGCACGTACACGTACGTGCGTGCGTGCGTGCGTGTGCACGTACACGTGCGGGAGTGCGTGCGTGCGTGCGTGCGTATGCACGTACATGTGCGTGCGTGCGAGCGTGCGTGCGTGCGTGTGCACGTACACGTGCGTGCGTGCGTGTGCGTGCGTGCGTGCGTGTGTACGTACACGTGCGTGAATGCGTGCGTGTGCACGTACACGTGCGGGCGTGCGTGCGCACGTACACGTACTTGCATCAAGAGCTAATAATACCTATATTATTATTAGCTATTAGGTATTATTAGCTCTTGCTTGCATGCGTGTGCAAGTGCATGTGCGTGCATGCGTGTGTGTGCACGTACACGTGCGTGCGTGCGTGCGTGTGTACGTACACGTGCATGCGTGTGCACGTACACGTGCGTTTGTGTGCACGTACACGTTCGTGCGTGCGTGCGTGCGTGTGCACGTACACGTGCGCGCGTGCGTGGGTGCGTCTACACGTACACGTGCGTGCGTATGCACGTACATGTGCGTGCGTGCGTGTGCACTTACACGTGCGTGCGTGCGTGGGTGCGTGTGCACGTACAAGCTGTATCTTTATTACTGTACTACCAGTAGGTATAGCAAAGCCTATCATAGATTTTAGATCTGTATTAGTAGTATCCTAGATGTATGCTCTGAGCGCGAACGTGATGGCAGGAGGGCGCACTTGATTCGGTTGCCAGTGAGTTTATAAGAAGAATACCTGGCTACAGTACACGTCAGTTGAGTGCTGTCGCTCTGCGGCACTTGTTTGTACAGTTGTTAATTAACATGAGTGGCTTCGTTTAGCTAGCGTTACAGAGGTTCATAGCCATATCTTGCTTAGTCTCTTACACTATGAGATGCAGAGGCTGTATCTGACTCAGCCTCTGACATTACACTGCATTCTCTGCTTCAACGCATCATATTCTGTAAAAAAACAGGTGCTCATAAAAGTACATTGTAACATATGAAGCCATTACTTTACACATTCCTAATAATATCCCTATGTTGAATGCAATTTTCCAAATAACTAAATCACTATTGCATCTATATAAAAATAGTAAAAACAATATTTAAGCAATAATTTTTTTTTAAATGAAATGAAATGCTTTCAGGCTTATGTCATGAAAATTTTGATTGGCTATCTACGTCTGCTCATCAACTCTAGAGATGAGATGTCATTGGCTTGTATCATCAATGTACCGGAGAGAGGAATCAACCACGCAGCTTTCACGGAGTTGAAACGACTGGCACGAAAACGGGGAATGCCGTTATTCCAGGTGCACCTAACAAAATAATATATAAAACAATTGTTGGGGTTAGGAGATTGTAGAAATGTGCTAGGTTATTATAAACTGCCTGTACACCCATGCTAAAACTGCTTTTGGCAAAATCAACTATGTAGGTCTTGCCATAGCAGCAATTGTTGTACTTTATATGTACTTTATGTGGTGATGTCAAATTTGGCTACCTGTGCCCCATATTAAATCGTATTGATCTTATGAAATATATATTCGACTTACTGAGGAAATGGTAGTCTAAAAGGATATGCTATGGCAATAAAGTTGCTTTTGCGCATGGTTGCCGAGTACCTATTTACAGTAGTTTATAATACACGTTGAGTGCACACCAAATGTAATTAACAGTGAATGTAAGAAGACCCGACAACATCATGAATGAAACTGCTATTGTAATTCTTACCTGTTTATCGATAAACCCACGTTGGGATTGTGCACAGCTAGTTTACAAGTGGTGTCCGATTACTGTGAGTTTCGATTTATTTCCATAGTTTATATTTGTTGTATCAATCACCATAGTAACAGTCAATAAGCGTTTGTTGTTTCAATCACCAGACAGTGACATCGTACGTGATGCGTGTACGCCTTGGTGGGAAGAGCTATGCTCCGGAGCAGTGCTGCCCTCTCTATCCACATATTTCGGCCCTCAGCGATTTCATCTGCCTTCTGAACAAAATGCAGACGATTCTGGAAGAGGAGCAGGATACCGGGTAATCTAGTAATGTTAAAACAGAAACTTGCGGTTAAGCAAGGAATGCCAGTAAGTGCTCAGATTGTTGGAAAAAAATGAGAAATCATCAATTTACCACTTAAAACCTGCATGAAATGAGGGTATGATCTTATGTACCCAGTGTTAATTGCTCACGTTTGTTAATTGCTTAACTGCAGTGGGTAATGTAGTGTCTATATTATGTTTAATGTATCATATATATATATATATAATATAATATCGTAATAAGCATCGCAACGTTATAACATGTTAGTAACATAAATTTTATTACAGTTTTTATCTTACTTTGACAATGATAATAATGATGATGTCATTTCAGAAGGGCCATCCAGACGTTAATCTCCGTCGTTAAGAATGCACTTCTCAAGTCAAAACATAACACACTCGGGGCAAGTGGTATAGATGGCGCTGTCAGTCGGCTGCGAACTCTCGCCCAAACAGCAACACAGAGACTGGCCGAGGGACAGCTGGATGATAAGGTATCGAATCGCCATCAGCGGCTCATGCAAAATTGGTTTAAGGCCCCCTTTGAGCCCGATACACTGACTCTGTTCAACGCTTGTGCCTGTGGCGCCAGTTAAAGTGTGTATTGCGAGTTTTTTGGCTCAGAAAAACTAAATATAGCTGAATATAGCCTCATCTGACAGTGGAAATATCACTGATTATACCAACATTCAAAACACCAAGATTTTATGCAGTTATAGCATAGAAAAATTGATTTGACCACATCATACCACCATTAAATTTTATCGTGTCCCGACTCTCAAAATCACAAATGGCGTCTTTGAACAAGTGCACATAATTAAAACAAAAGGGTGTGCAATTCTGTTTGGTAAATATTATTGAGTTTTTATGTCAATAATTCAGAGCACTTTCAGTCATTGTCATTCCCGTGTCACTATCTGACTGGCAATCCACAAGCTTCTCTAATAACAGACTTTACGTGGCATTAGTACTACACTGCTGTTACGCCAGTATGAACGTCTGTGTTTACACTCTGACCCGATTTCTACGGTGCGACGGTATGCATTACTGCACCGTGATAGATGTCTCACGCTACCGCGAGAAAGTTCGAGAGATGGCAACGGTAAACAGAAACAGAACGCAAAATTGTAATCGTGCATGATTTCATTGGATTTGGTGAATATGAAGGTTCTAAGACATTTTATCGTTACTCTACACAATTCCTGTTACTCAAGCAATAACGGTAGGTATCATGAAAGTGGGGAAAACATTGGAAAATTCTCGCAATACACGCTTTAATAGGAAATTACCATTTTCAAAAGCGTATCACTTTTCAAACTTATCGTTTCATTCACCAATCACAGTAGAGTTGATAAAGACGTGTAACTCTGAAATGGTGATTACATTATGACGCAAGTCAGTAAATTACGAGTTCCGATGGTATGAAATTGCCCGAAATTTTATGACCCTGGCATAATGAGGCGCATACTTTTTAACAACCTTTCTTATATGGGACAAAAAGGAGATGACGGGCAAGGAGGTAACATGAGTGGGACAGCCACGGTGTTTCGTTGCCGTCAATATCGTGCGATTATCGGGGGTGCCACGGCGAGTAATACTAGCCGCACACTATCCGACCCGAGTGCGATCGGGAGGCTTACGATTGGATCGAGAGGCTTTAGTTTGGCTCGGGAGGCTTAAGTTTGGCTCGGGAGGTCATTTTGGCCCGATTCGAATTTTGAATCGGGAGCAGATCGGGTCGGATAGTGTGCGAGGGCTTACGACGCGACTCGGATAGTGTGCGTGGCCATCCGACCCGATCGGCGAGCGCTGAAGAAAATTGACCAATCACAGAGCAGCGCCATGGGAACCGCATTCAAATGGAATTGCATTCGAACCATGGGAAACACTCCCGACCTTTAGTACACGCTAAATCCGCTTGGAACGCCACGAGAGTGCCATGGTTTGTGCCAACTTTGAGTCGGACAGTGTGCAGTGGCCTCCCGATCGATCGGGAGCGGGTCGTATAGTGTGCGGGGGCTTAGTGCTGTGCACAGTGCAAGATCGGATAGTGTGCGGCTAGCATAAGACGGTCAACTACAGCACTGGGCGTCGATCGTACAGCGAGAATCAAACGGCCGTAGTGTTTATGTAGTCACGCGGACGTCTCGCTCGACACATTACAGCTCGACATTCCCGAGAGAATATGCGGTCACCGCAACGTCATCGCGTTACGCGAGCTCCTCGACGACGCAGCCTCCCTGCCGGTCGCCGACGGCAACCGCGCAGACGTGCTCACCGGTGGCGTCGCGAGTCAGTCGACGCCGATACACCTGCCCTCGCTGATGTCGCAGTTCAGGTAAGTCTCTGCGGGCAGCATAGACGTGAGTGTTTAGCCAGCTATGCAGTGTTGGAAATAACCCCCCGCCTCCTGTCTAGAGGCTGGTAACTGTTGAGCAGGATGGGCTCATTTTTATGGATTTTACTATAGTTTATATAGTAGGAATCAAAATTTTCGAAAACTAGGACTGGCTGAGTTTTCAGACTATTTTCCAAGACTGTTCTATATTTCCGAATTGGCTGCGATCAAAGGTTTGGTGTTCATTACCATAGGCGGTACGAGATCTCTGTCGTAGAAGGTCTTGTTAAGTGTCTTAGTGTCATGGTTCTTGATTGGTTTACTGAGACAATGCTTAATTGGTTGCACTGGTTGTTCCCACATGTTTTTTTCTTCATATTCTTCTTGTGTTTCTTTAAGTTGTAATGGTAGGCAGCGTCAGAGCTTGTGTGAAATAATATGTGGCAGAGTGCTTTGATTACCTCCGTTGCAACAGAGTTGCAGGGAGGTAATGTAATCGCTCTCGTGTGTGTGTTCGTGTGTGTGTTCGTGTGTGTGTGTAGCCAGCAGCGAGCCAGCTGTTATACACACGCTCAACCGATCGATCGATTCAGCACCAGCTCGCCTTAGAGGCTTAGGGTGTCCAGTCAGCAGCAGCTTGCCTTAGGGCGTCCAGTCAGCAGCAGCCAGCAGCGAGCCAGCTGTTATACACATGTATACATGTTACACGCTCGCGGAGGTATGCACTCTCTTTGAGTGCCCTCTGTCTAGTTAATTGAATGTTATGCACGTCTGAACCTGCCCAACAATGTCATAAGAATCCTAGGACTTCGGTGATACTTTGGTGATTTATGATACAATCGTTAAAATTCGATAAGCGTATAATTTTTTGGGAGAATTTTATTTGTAAACTCCTAACACGACAGCAAAGTTTATGCGGGATATGGGATGCAGCAGCAAGTGGTCTCCAGATAATAACAGCTAATTATTGTTATCAGGAGCAAGCTAATAATGAATAAACCAAGGAGTAAGAGTAATTATATAAACTTATAAAGTTTATATAAAGAGTTAATATAAGTTTATATAAAGTTATATAAAGTAGTCCTGATAAAGATTAAGATAATCATCTTTTATTGCGATCTTACTCGTATATAATATAATGTACCATATTATGCCAGGAATATGATTTGCTGTAACACTCTTGTCTTGCAGGTCGCCAGATGTTTGCAGCCCAGACGAGAACGAAATGCCTCTCGCACAGAGACTTGCTGAAAGTGACCACCAGGTGACAGCACAGGTGAGCAGGATTGTCTTGATTAGCAGTCAGAGGCAAGTCAGAGAGAGAGGGCGAGAGATACAACGTGCGCGCGAGATGGAAAGAGCGAGAGAGAGAGAGAGAGAGAGAGAGACTGAGATATACAGCGTATGTGTGAGAGAGAAACAGCAAGAGAGAGTGAGAGAAAGAGAGAGAGAGAGCAAGATGTAGCGTGTACGTGAGAGAGAAACATCGAGAGCGAGTGAGAAAGAGAGAGAGAGAGAGAGAGAGAGAGAGAGAGAGAGAGAGAGAGGAAGAGAGAGAGAGAAAGAGAGCAAGAGCGAGTCGGAGTGACAGGGGAGAGGAGGGCAGAGAGCAGTTACATGCTGCGTGCTTCTATCTGTGCCAGCACGTTAGTTTGCTCAGGTAGTGGTATCCTATCTCGGCCTTATCACCCGTGTCGCCTAGGACGATGGCGCTCACAGGTAGTGCGGCGATGTCCCTGAGCATCCCATTGTCCACCCGCCACACGGCATCGTTGTTGTCGCAGTTACATGTCGTTGCGTTATTGGCGCAGTTGCCTGTGAAGCAAGGGACGAAAGGCAGCGGTGAGAGACTTACGTGTCGCGTGGCGACATTTACGCGAAATTGAGCAAGGCTGTGCGAAGTGCGAGCGCTTCTTTCCTCAGACAGCATACACGCGTGTTGCATGGCGATATTTGCGCGTGCCAGTTTTGGCACGAAGTCGAACACTGCTCTTCTTGTTCTCGCAAATTTTTGCATGCGCGAATAATAGCCGCGCAACACACGAGTGTATGGTTGACTTTACATACGACATTAGCCTCGCCCGTAGTTGTTAGTCACTGCATTCACACTGCGTAAAGCCTAGCACAGACCTGCGACCTTTTCATGCAACTCGACAGCGATTCTAGAATCGCTGTAAAAATTGCTGTGAAATAGCTACGTTTGCGGGAACGTGCAACTGCAACCCTTTGGCCTTAGCAATTCTGGTCGCTTGCGACGAGTTGCAAGAAATCAAACTTTTAATTTTGAGCGACTTGTTGCCCCCAATTGTGCTAGAGTTGCTTCGAAATCGGATGTGTGCGCACACACGGTGACACATCGACCGATCGCTTGCGGTTGCAGGTTGCAGCGACGAGCAACCAAAAATTGCAGGTCTGCGCTAGGCTTAAGAAAGCACGCAAGCTAACCACCAGCGTCTGCTCAAAGTCGTTTCGATCTACTTACCGGCGGCGCCGCACGCGCACTGGTCGGAGCCGGGGTGGGCCCCGCCCCAGTAGTGCTGCGGCCTCCCGTCCCACGATGCCCACCATCCATACCGCGTGCTGGACGACTTCATGAGGACCGCCGAGTAACATTTATACTGAAGCAAAGAAAGCATGCGTGATAAAGAGCTCTGGATTGGTTCCGTGGGGTGCAGAGCAACTGCCACTACCCAGTGCAGATTTGCCTAGCTTATAATAATAATAAAGCGGACAGAGTCCCGAGACAAGTGCTGTGGTGGGCAATGAGGAAGCTTGGGACAGACGAGTGGATCATGAGGTTGGTGCAGGGCATGTACACCAACACTCGTAGTCGTGTGCGTGTCGGTGGTGGTTTCTCAGAGGAGTTTGAGGTAAAGGTGGGAGTTCATCAAGGGTTGGTGCTGAGCCCCCTCCTGTTCATCATGGTACTGGAGGCCCTTTCACGGCAGTTCCGTGCTGGCGTCCCCTGGGAAGATCTCTACGCCGATGACTTGGTGATTATAGCCGATTTCTTGGAAGAATGCATGGCAAGGCTGGAAGTGTGGAAGCTGGCATGGAGGAGAAGGGCCTCAGAGTGAATATGGGCAAGACGAAGATCATGATTTGTGGTGCTGAACTTGACCTCGGGGTGCAGATTGGGCAGGACAAACTGGAGGTGGTACCCTCCTTCTGCTACCTTGGTGATACTCTCTCGGCGGGTGGTGGCTGTGAATTAGCCACTATCATTAGAGCAAAGACCGCCTGGGGGAAGTTTCGGAAGCTGCTTCCTGTCCTGACATCTCGACATCTGTCCCTCAGGCCTCGTGGTCATGTGTATGGCACCTGTGTCCGCAGCGCCATGCTGCACGGGAGCGAGACATGGGCAATGAAATCTGCTGACTTGCAACGCCTCCGGTGTAATTACAGGGCAATGATCAGATGGATCTGCATTCTGCAATGTCACAATCGTGGATTTTGCCCCTTCAAATGAGCTGCTGGGCAGACTGGGTATCCTGGACCTTGATGTCGTATTACGTGAGAGAAGACTCCGCTGGTATGGCCATGTTCAGCGCTCCATCGGTGCCATCAAGACAGTGGGTGAAGTTCAAGTTGTTGGTGTAAGGAGACGTGGCAGGCCGAAGATGTCTTGGAAGGAGGTTGTGAAGAAGGATAGGGAACAGTGGAATCTCTCCGCTGTAGACCCCTTGGATCGTGTCATATGGAGAGCAAGCGTGAGAGCTGCCAAAACTGGACCGAGCCAGATTCCTGGAGTGGGTTCTACTGATGTGGATTTAAACCCTTGAGTCCATTATAAAATAAAGAAACCGAAAACAACAACAACAACAACAACATAATTAGATGACGTGAGGCTGTAGTGTGAGCCTAAAGGTTGTTACCGTCTCTATTGTCCCTGCGGTATCGCACTTAATAGAGATAACACACCTGTGCATGTGTGAATAATTGGTAAAACGTGAGCTATTTTATATATACTGTGTGTGTGTGTGTGTGTGTGCGTGCGTGTGTGCGTAAGCGTGTGCGTGTGCACGCGCGCGCGCGTGTGTGTGAGTATGTGTGTGTGCGTGTGCGTGCGTGTGTGCGTATGTGTATGTGCGTGAACGTGTGTGCGTGTGCGTGCGTGTGTGCGTATGTGTATGTGCGTGAACGTGTGCGTGTGTGAGTGCATCTGACTGTGTGTGTATTTGTGTGAGTGTGCGCGTGCGCGTGCGCGTTTTTGCGTTATCAATATGGCGCAAAGAGAAAATAGCATTGTAAACTGACGGCGGAATGGTGAGTTATCGCGGGAGTTGTCGGACCGCTCCTTTACAGTAGCTGTTCTCGATCACACCGCTTACCTGGATCCACTGCTCGCACTTGTGTGCAGTGGCCATGACCGCTCGTATGTCGTGCATGGGCACCTCGTAGCTGACGTTGTACACGTAGGAGCCGGGCGATTCCTTCCCTTTCACCACCACGTCTCTGGAGGAGTCGTGCGTGAACGCCGTCGTTCCTGAAGCACGAGCAACGGTCAGGGTTAGGGTCTGGGATAGTGTTTGGATTAAGTTAGATATAGTGTCAGGGTTAGGGTTAGTGTTAGGATTAAGGTGGATTAAGGTATTAGGATTAAGGTGTTAGGATTAAGCGATGAATAGTAGTATGATCAGGGTTAGGGTCAGAGATAGTGTTAGGGTTAAGTTATGTATAGTGTTAGGGTTAGGTTAGTAATAATGTTAGGGTTACGTTGTACGTATAGCCTTAGGGCTAGGTTAGTAATAGTGTTAGGGTTGGGGTTAGGGTTAAGTAATGAATAGTATTTCTGTTAGGGTTAGGTTAGGAAAAGTGTTAGGGTTAAGTAAGGGATAGTAATATATATAGGGTTAGGCTAGAATTAGTTGTAGGACTTCGTGAGGGGTAGTATTAGGTTAAGGGCAGTGTTAGGGTTAGGGTTAGGGTTAGGGTGAGGATAGTGTTAGGGTTAGGTTAGGTATAGTGTTATGTTTAGGGCTATGATTAGGCATGTGTGACGTATACACCTCAGCTGGGCTGTATGTATGCAATGATTAGATCCATTACCCCATCCCATATCGGATCGACGCGATTATTGTTCTATACCATTCGTTTACTACAAGCTTGGCACTGAATAACTAGTTTTCAACGTTCATCAGGGTTAGGCTCTGCCAGGTTCTCCTAACTCTGTAAAGCTGAGAAACCAGCTCACCTTAAGCTCAGGTTGGTTTAGGTTATGGATTGGGTTTGGATTATGGTGACGAAGATTTAGGTACAGGATTCCTAATGTATGATTGAGCCAGGTACCTGTTGCTAGGTCGCAGTTGACTTCGAACGGAGGCCTCCCATGTCCTGGTCCGTCAAGGTCGAGGTAGTACAGACCATTCTCCGTGAAGCCAGCCTTCTTGATCTCCTGGCAATTTCTAAAGGAATGTCTGATTGGTCCGCATGTAGTTCCACACCTTCCTGGGAGCCATGCGAAATGATCGGCGTTACATTGCAGTTTCTACGGAAACTTGCTAGACGTAGTTCGTTAGTAGTGATCAAGCATCAGCAAGTTGGTCTAATTAATCATTAGCAATCGATAATGGCAATCAATGGCATTCAATAATGACAATCATTTGGTGGTATCATGAATACATCTACATCCTGAATATGAAAGATCGCTGTACCAGCTGCCGTGGCAACGTTCCCATTTCTGAACCTTCTAAACGCAGCACTAGATGCGCTAGAAATCAGTAGCATGAGTCGACATGATTAATAATGCTTTCTGATAACTGGTTTCACGTGTTTCGTGTACGGATGTGTCGACGGTGGCGTTCTACGTGTGCCCTACTGCTACCTCTCGCACTCACCGATTTTTGCCGATGCGTTGGCCAGCGATTCCAGCTGCTGTGCCACCTCTTCTGCGATCTGCTGCTTGAGTTCAGTGCACCCTAGTGGCGCTTGTGGTGAGAATCCGGCAGGATAGTTGACCACCTGTGTGCAGTTGACCATCGCTGGTGATGCTAGTGCTGACACCGGGGTGTCTGTCCCGTGTGCCACGGAGGCAGCAGCCGCGAGCAGCAGGAAGAATACTGAAGCCATGCTGATGTAGATGCCTCACGTCCTCCTCTTTCTTTCTCTCTCTTTCTGTCACACACACACACACACACTCTCTCTCTCTCTTTCTGTCTCTCGCTCTCTCGCTCTCTCGCGCTCTTTCTTTTTCTCTGTCTCTCTCTCTCTCTCTCTCTCTCTGTCTCTGTCTCTGTCTCTTTCTCTCTCGCTCTTTCTCTCGCTCGCTTGGTCTCTCTCTTTCTATCTGCAATCAGGTGCAGATGTTGACTGCTGCCGTGAGCTGTGTGACTAGAAACACGCAGCAAGGCTATGCGTTGACCGATGTGACGGTGTCGGATGATGGGATGCTAGTTCTGTGCGAGACAGATGAATTGTATGCACAGTCTGCTACGTCTCACCCAAATATATAGCGGCTTTTCTGCCCCGCGGCAGCGCATCCGCCTGCCGTATCAGCACTGTCACTCCAGTGTCACCCTGCCACGCAGACAGGACGTGATAACGTTGGTGATTAGACCACAAGCACTTGGAATCAAGTCAGTTGGTAGTGTAAATGTGATCACCGTTTTGACACTGAATATTTATATATATATGTTTATATGTATATCATATGTGATA